TGTAAGTTGTTCTTTTTTAAGCGCTAATATGCTTTTTTCCTATAATCAGATCTGAATGAGTTGAGAGAATCAAGGTTTGTGTAGTCAGTCACTGGTGATGAGTTGAGTATTCAATGTTTCAATGCTTAATTGAATACTTTAAATACCAAAGCAATAAACTCAGCTAATGTTTTTCTTGCTAAGTGAAAAATGGCAAAAATGCATTTAATATGTTTAATTTATTTTTTTTGCAATGCCGATGAAAGGAAAGAAAAGGTAACATGTGGCTTTTACTTTCATAAAAGGTTCTATTTGACATTTATGACTAAGAATGCATGAAATGACAGTGAACATTTACACCTCCTTTAATTAAATGATCTCTTAAATAGTGGGCTGTTAAATTGGAAAACAGAATTGCTGGTTCTCACTATTTGAATGTACTTTGGTTTTGTTCTGTTGGGTTTTTTTCTGGAGTTTGCAGAATCATCAAAGTAGGAATGAATTTAAGCTTTCATGGAAAGAAAACTTGCAGAGATAGTATTATTTAAAATTCAGGTAAAAAATCTTGAAAATTTGACCCTACTTTATATGAATGGCTCTGAAACAAAGAGACAAATAAAATGAGATTTAAATGTATGTATATTAACATGCTTAAGAAATTACTAGCAAGTATTTTGATATCTCTTCCATGAAATTTTAGTATTTGTTGAAATCTGTGATACTACAGTAGTGGGAATACTTGGCACCCTGAGCATAGACTTGGTAGGTAAAAGGAACATTTGCCAAAGTGAGTATGTCAGAACAATATCCTTTCCCATTTCCAGAGCTCATTCTGGCTTTTTCCATATAAAAAAGTGCAGCGATGGATAGTTCTTCCCTACTACATTTTGTTTGAAAAGAAACATTTTTGCCAGCAGATAACGAGCTGCACTCATTAATCTATAAAGAAATATCCATAAGATGGTGCTGTATCTTAAATCAGAGTAATTTGCATTGAAAAATAAAATTTTTGTTGCAATTGTAGCTTAGAGCTCTTGTTGTAAGCTGTGTTGGTAACAATTTCTTTGGCAAACATATTGCAAATGTTAGTTTCCAGTCACTCCAATATGTTAATTTACATGCATTAAAATATTAGTCACAGCACTTTTGTTCAAGCCTGAAAAGTGTAAAACCAGCTGAAAGGTAGTATCAGTCATTCTCAGGTCATGAGCAGTCAGTACCTTGCTTTCACAGTTGAGTTTCACTCCCTCCTTTTTAGCTAAAGGCAAGTGATGGTCCAAGAACTCCTCTAGACATTACTTTCATGAAAAAAAACAAAACCCTCAACCAAAAAAACCAGCACACTGGGGTGTCTACTTAAAGGAGTAAGTTGGCTATTATAGATAATGGCCATACCTATATGGAAAGACTGTGGGAGAAATGAATTTGAGACATCATAACCACCCAAGAGCAGAGATTTCATGTACAGCCAACACGTAGTTTTGTGGGATTTTGTTGATAACAATGATGTCAAATGGACGACTGGTTGGAGAGCAACCAGTTACAGCATTATGGCCCTGGAGCCTGGGTAATGGATCATACCTCACTAATAGCCTTTCACTACGTCCCATGACTGCAACAGTGCAGAGCCAGGGCCGAGCTGCCAAACTGCTGACAGGAGGAGGGAAAAGAGGCTGTCAGAGAGGGAATAGGCTGCCACATCTCCCGAGGTCTGTGCAATTCCATCTGTGTTTCAGCTAGGTAGCTACTATACTTCAAAGACCTTGTTGCAGTGGGAATTTTACCTTCTTGAGGCATCCAGGTGTGCTTGTACATTTTTCTCCCTGTTTGTTTCTCTGAAGTGGTGCAATGACAAGAGCTACTGATCAGTTGATAAATCTGTGTTTTTCTGTACAGTGTCTTTCAGTTACTCATTTACTTCTGGAGTCTCTTGTACGTAGTCTGAGTCAGTTTTTCCTCTATGAAAACAAGATTCAGGGAAGATATAACATGCAAAATGTCTAATGCAGAAGTAGAGGAAGAAGGAAAGATTCCAACATAATGCTGTGGGCAGTAAGGAAAAAAAGGAAATAGTGAATGATTTTTTAGTGGTTGAGACAGAGAGCACTTAGTTTCAGCCGTGTACCTGAGTTGATCCAGCATAGCGTAGATGGAACATGCCAATAAGAAACTCCTAACATCTTCCCTCTGTTTTTGAGATATTTGAATGATAATATCTGCAGACCGCATCCTCTTTTGCCTTTTTGGATAAACCTGTCACGCTGGTGATTCCAGACCTAGGGAAACTCCAATTACCTCATTAGGTAATGAGGGTAAGAAGGACTAAGTAAAGAAGGTTAGGAACTTTTTTTCAGATGTCTAATGGATTTAATTCACATGTAAATGTTACGGAGAAAAACCTGTGTTCTTATACTCCTGACATAGTCCCTAGATTGAAAAACAATCAGTACTTTTGGTGAAAGGTACAATGCAAACTTGAAAGACATTTTTCAGTTTTTTTCTCCCTGTTATTTAACTGTTGATCAAAGCCTGAAATATCATTCTTAAGAGTATGGTCTTATGGTAACACCTCTCTGCAGGTAAATTGATTCTTGAACCAGTTCAGAGGATCAGGAAATTAAAGAGGGAAGCATAAGCTACTTTAATGGGGCCAATATAAACTGGAGGCTAAAAATATACATATATAAAGCAAATGTAGTGTATACCCGATTACTCATGGGATGACCCAGGATTGGTTGCAAAAGATTACATGATAATGTAAGCCTAGAACGTCTACTTTGTATCATGTAAAAGATGTCAGTATATTCTGGTTTAATTTAATTTTGTGAATTCTTGTTAAAGATGCTTCAGAATTTTTTTCTTCCTTCCTACAGTGCCACGTTTCAAGCAGCTTTTTGATTGCTTTCTGGTGTAATGATGCAAGACTTGATCACAGAGACAGCTAACTGCTGATGTGCTGTGTTATTATAATGCCACCTGATACCTCATTCGTTTGATATATTAGCTAGTATACCACATCAACAAAGCAAAGTGCTCACATAATTTCTAAAAAGATGGAATGTTTCAGTGGCAAGCATGAATTCAGGGTAAAAGCTATAGATATGAAGCAGTGGCAAAATGCCCCTTGGCTTTGTCTTTTTCACTTTATGAAACTTATAAGATAATTCAAGACCAAAAAGACCTATTTAAAAAAATATGAACTAATGAACTCATCCATTATAATCTTGACATGACAGAATTCTTGGTTTATTTTGTATATATACCATCATCAAAATAAGAAAATGAAAAAATTAAAGTGTTTCTGGAATGTACTTATTTTATAGTTTTATAAAGCAGCTATCTCCAGGAGATCTGATGACTAACTGTTGTGTTTTCAGTAGGTATATAAATGGCATGCAAAAAGAAGTAACTTCTAAAATGAATTCTAATATAAGTCATGAAAGCCATAGATGCTTGCAGTTAACAGTCTTTGTGACAGGTAAAGACATCAGAGTGCCTCATGAGGAATAGGTTCTTTGAGCAAAGGTCACCTTTTGAGAGACTAAGACCTTCTAAGAGCAACAGCACAAACAAATCACTTCTCTGAAATCTGGTTCTGTGACAGAACATAAAAGGGAGGCAATGAGCAACCAGGTTCCATATCATTAAGAATATTTAGATGTTGTCCCCCATTCCTGATATAGGGATTCTTGAGGACATCCCAGGCTGGAATACAGCCTGCATCTATTTTGCACACTTTTACAGTTCCTCTGTAAATCCCCAGGTATTCACTGTGACCACAGCTGGAAGACACCTCTCAGAGTTTCTGTGAGGTTCCATCACTTACACCATTCCCCTCCTGGATTGCAGTGCTGTGTCTGTGCCTGATCCTGCCTTAATGAGAGACTGCATCTGCCTGTGGGACAAGGATGGAACAAGGATGGAACAAGCTCCATTCCTGCAGGTTTGTTGCTGTTGCTCTGCAATCCTGGGGCTGGACTGCAGTTCTGATGGGTGCCCTGAGCAGCAAGACAGGGAAGGTGTCTGGGAGAAGTGAGACAGTCTCATAACTGCATACACAGTGTATCTGCAGGCACACAACACACCTTTCACACACCATTACTTCTTCTTCCTTGCAGGTTCCTGGTTCACATTTGTTATTCATCATGTCCTGGCTTACTGATCAAGCTCATCCAACTATGCCCTTTCTTTTGTAGGCCCCAGTGATTTGGTGCCTGCTGCTCCTTGTTTGGCCTCCTTAGCAGGCTGCTTGTAGAGAGCAGAGCCTTGGAGCCACATAAAGAGGTACGTTCTTGAACTCCCATTCTCTCTGTAAGTGGACTAAGGGCTTGTCCTAGGGTGACGTTATGGTGTTTGGATCTCCAATCGTGTATTCTGTTTATGCTTGATATTATGTCCTGTGCTTTCAGGACTGACTCTGAAAGTGAAGCTGTGTTTTGTCTTGTTATCAGCCAGCTCACCTCCCCCATGGTCTGTGTTTAGGAGAGGCTGTTTGGTTTTGCTTGCTTGCTTGCTTGCTTGCTTGCTCGCTCGCTTGCTCGCTTCTGCCTCTTTTTCTTTGCTTTGCTTTGCTTTGCCCTTGCTTTTGCTTATTAGCTAGTTCAGCTAGGCAGTCCAATTTTTTCCCTGGACTGTTCTTTTCCCCCCTCTCCCTCTCCTGGATACCATCTGAACCTGTTCCGGACGGGGACCTGGGAAACACCAGAAGTCTGCATTCTGTGACCTGCAGCAGTCATTCCCCAGCGCCAGAGACTGATAACTGGGCAACCACTCGCCGGAGAGACTTTCTGAGTTTGTCATCCCTTCAGAACGGTGAAAGAGTTTTTTGTCAGCTGGTGTTGGGGTTTTTTTTGCTGGGGAGTGGTTTCGCTTGTTAAATAAACAGGTTTTTTTCCACTCCTCTCTGAGGAAATTCTTCCCGCACCCGGTGGTGGGAGGAGGAGTCGTGAGGGTTTTGCTTTCTGGGGGCTCCTTCCGGAGGTTTTCCCCCAAAATTTGCCCTAAACCAGGACAGGGCTGAAGTTGGGACATCCTTTACACCTTCTCTTCTGTCATATATATGTGAGTACTCTGTTGCAGTCCTTCTGGGACAGGTAATTTCAGAGGTACATTTGGAGGTACAAAAAACCATAATTTGTTTTAACATATACAAATGAATTTATTTTAACATACATTTAAAATAACTGTAATTTATTTTAGCAAATAACTTTAAAATGGAGAATTGCTTTTATGGTCGGACCATGGGCCTTCTCAATATTTTTTTTTCATCTGTCCCTAGCATCGCATCCAATTGCAGTGCTTTCCCTGAAAGGTCATTGGTGGACCTCTATGTGGCATTTGTGGTCCAGTTTCCTGAACATGCTTTCTTAAGGGGCACTTTTTTCATTTGGATGGAAAGTCACTGACACTCTCATCTCCAAGGAGCCCTCTGGGCAAGCAACAGGATGAGCAGCCCTGAGCCTTCTCTCCTTTCCCTCACACTTTCATGCCTGAGCATTCCTGGTATGTTTGCTGGGTGGCTAGATAGTGAGGATGATGACGGAATTTACCTTTCAGATGGTAACTGAGTGGCACCTACAAATGAATGCAGCTTTGAGCTAAAGTCCTTCCGCTCTGAGTTAAGACCATCCGGCAGATGTGTCTGCTGATTTCCTTGTCCCTGTAGCCTCATCAGTCAGGGCTGCTCAGACTGGAAAAGCTCTTGTTATTCCCGACCAACAGCTGAGGAGAAAAATCTCTGTCTCTAAAATACATTGTGTCCATTTTATGTGAGGTCCATTATTATGTGAGGTCTTCAGATTTTAAAGGCTTTTTCCAGCCTAAATGATTCTATGTGTCATGAAGAGCTATCTCCGCCCAAAGCCACTGGATCCTACAGTTCCAGTTTCATGTTGCTAGACTTTATGGACTAGTTCAGAAGGTTTTGGCAAGCTGTGTGGTGGTGGTCCGGTGGAGAATTGTCCTGTCTTTATGTGCACAGAAGGCTCACTAAGATTGGTGAAGTCTGTCCTGTTGACAAAGAACAACTAACAACTACCCAGCTCTACCAGGCTACCCTGTACTGTAAGAGAGTGGGAGAAATGCAGGTCATCAATCAGTTGTGAAAAATGTGCTTAAGATTAGAAATACTACGAAAATGATTTTCAAAGCATGGATAGAATTCCTTAAGCAGGTGGGGGAACTGATACAGCTTAATTCCCATGCCACATTATCTTCAATGAAGTGCAATCCTTAACTGAGATAAGGCCTACATCCTATTTCTGAACCAAAATCTGCCAGAACAAGATTTATAGAACACGTGGTATACAGGTTTTGCACTATGATTGCAGTAGAGAATTTCAAAATTTCGTTAGCAGATTCTGTGCTGTGAAGGTTCAATGTAGGCCTGGGATGCTACAGAAGGACTCTTCTGAGGCAAGGGTACAATAGGCCAAGGGAGACACATCTCCAAGGAGCAAATCCTGGTTTGGTCTGTGGTCAAAATGTTCTTGTTCCATCTGTTTCAGTGTCACAGCCAAGAAGTGTTGAAGCATGGCTAGCACTGAGAGGCTGGGAGGGGTTTAGTGCACAGAGAAGAAGTGCTAAGGACAGTGCTGGGCTGGGAGCAAGTCTGAAAGCTTCTCTTTGGATGCTTTCTATTTAATATGATAACCCCAGTTGAGAACTAATTTTCATGGATTTTAGCCTTACAAAGGAAAAAAGCAGACTTTGCGAATTGCTGCTTAGAGAGCATACTTGGGCAGAACTTACTGTGCTTGTTTGTCAGCTAATTCATTAGAGTTCACATCAGACTGTTGGGGTGTTTGGCTGTGTTCTGTAATGGCATTTTTTTCCACTGCTGAACAGCAATTCTGCAATCACTGCATCAATTATTACAATGTAAAATATTTGATATGCTGTTAGATGAAAAGTAAATTTATCTTGTGCCAGGAACTGCATCAGAATGTAATAAATACACTTGATGCTCATTGATGCTCATTGGGCTTTACAGAGAGAGGCACTCAAAAGAGCAGATTGTCTGGACTGAAACTACCATCTGGAAATTTTGTCTGAAGCCCGATTACAATAAGGGCTTAAAGGGCCACCTTTTTTTTTTTTTTTTTTTTAAAGCTCCTTTGAAGGAAATCTGTATGGGTAATTTAAAAACCTAACTAAATTTCAATAAATTTTGATGAAGTCGAGGTGTAAATAAACCAATATTTATTTTCAATGTCTTGCACATCTGATGTTCAACAGTATTTAAACAAGTTTAAGAAATGCTCCACAGTATGTCAGATAACTCTACTGGCATGTAAAGACCAGTGATCTAGGCTATTTGAAGATTTTTACTTGTGACAGCAAGAGATATGCTTTGTATATTTTTGTGTGATCTGCTTTTTTTTCTTCAAAAAACCTCATGCAAATTAGGTTCTTCAAAAATACAGCCATAATCTTCCTAAAAAGCTGTGAGCTTGAGGAAATTTGGTTTAGAAATAAACAAGGTGCAAAGATTCAAGTTATTATGTGATATGCTATTACTTAGGAGCCAAGGTCTGTCACAAATGTGTGTTTTTCATTATGGGATTTTAACAGAAAAAATGTGAGTCACAGCCAAGCTCTCCCAGTTATTTTGGCAGTAATTCTTTAAATGACCCAAATGGCCAAAATTATATATGGTTCATTCTCTTTATCTGTTCTTGAAGGAGGAGAATTGTGTGAAGGGTAGTTCTGGGCTTTGATGGACTTACTGTCTAAACTTATATATTTTTAATTTAATGTCTATTATATTAGCTGTTTTTATTTTATAAGAAAGTAAATTTGAAGCTATTTTCTTTGAAGTTGAAGCAAGAGGGTGAAGTTTGCAGCTGAGCATATTGCTTATGTGAATTCATATCATATTTTAATATGCGTAAAAAAATCTGAGTTCTCTGTAATAATTTAGAAATAAACTTATTTTGTTCCTGAGGTATAAACTGTGACTTTTGTCCTGGATTTTTCCGCTGGTTTTGGCCTGTACCATGGAGCATCTTTAAGAAAAGCTTAGCGCCTGTGGACCTGAATGGTACTCAGTGGGAATTCTGTGCTGCACATGAATGCAAAGGTGCTGTTCCACAGTTCCTCAGGTTGTTGGAGGGATGGGCAAGGGCACTTTCAAACACACCTGAGTGCTTTGTGCTGAGGCGGGGTCACCGTAGCTCAGCAGAGACCTGTGAAGGTGCGTAGAAGGGAGGCAATTGCTGCTTGCCAGGATGGAGCAGGGTCTCCCAGGCAACTGAAACTGTTTGGAGCTGCTGGCTGTGAGTTTAGTGGCATGGAGAGATGAGAGAGCATGCCTTAGCAACAGGCTCAATTGGCCGTAATGAATATGTACCTCTAACCGCAGATGACTGCACAGAAAATTCTTCAGAGTAATTTCATCTACCTACTAACATTGTCCTCCCTCACGTGGACTCAGAGCCAACCTCCTGGTCCTTATGTGGGAGGGAATACATCTGAGGATGAAGCAATTTACTGACACTGACATGATCAAACATTTTGTAGGATAGCCAGAGTTGTGCGTGATCTGCATAGCAGTGCCTTGCATGCCTGTGTCATCGCTCACCTGCTGCTAGCGTGGAGGAGCTGAATTGCATTCTCAGTAAGCATTATTTTCAACTGCATCAATAGGCCTCAGTGGGGATAGGAAACAGGTCACAGGAAAATATAGAAGACAGGTTGGTTAAATAGGAAGATGTTCACTGGGCTGGCTTCAAGAAAATCTTTAATATGGAGTTCTTCATAGTATTGTTATCACCAAGAAATTAGGTAAGACTGATCTGTAGCATGTGTAGTACCGACACTATCAGGACTGCTTGCAACAAAGTACAGATGCTTTAAAAAGGGGGACAACTTTTAAAAAAATTAAGAGATTTTTCATTCAGTCTTGTGCATACCTGTTCCCATTATTCTCTAAAAATTGTACCATTCTCTCTTTCCTGTATCTAATTATTCTCTTCATCTAAGTCATTCTCTTCATCTATCTCTGAGCTCTTTTTTTTCTGCATTGTCTTTTGTAGGAATAGGGAGTCTAGAGCCAGATGCATCATTCTGTCAATTCAGAGAATGGCACTATTATACTTTCATTACTTTCCCACCTGCTCCTTTTAAATTCTAGCAATTTTTTTGCTAAAGTACTCTCACAGGTTAGAGATTTGATGATACCTAAGTCCATTTTATGAGTGGTTAAAGTTAATTTAGAGCCAAGTACTGTGGCTCCATGATTCAAAATGCTCTTTCCACTGCTCGTTAGCCTCCCATTTATCAACTTCTAAGAAAAGCTTAATGCTTTTACCTTTATTAATTAGATTACATGAGCATAAGAATGGACGGAATGTATATATTTGTATTATTTTAAGAAAGAAGGCATTGAAAACTCAAGTTTAAATGAATCCTCTATCAAATCAAGATGAAACTCTGGTACTTACTCTGTGAACGCCAATTACTTCTGTTCATCAGCCTTCAGAATGTCTTTGATTGCCACAAAAAAAGAGAAAAGAAAAAAAATTTTATAAAAGGGAATTATCAGGTTAACTTCCAGAGACTATTTGTTATCAGTTTAACTTCCAAAGACTATTTGTCTAGCCTTAGGGAGAGCTGACAAAGAATTACACATTCAAAATGTAATGTTTGAGTTAAGTACAAATATTTTAAGGTAGTACATTTAATTGGGGTCATATTCCCTAATGACTGTCTCCATTTCCCTAAGATCAATGTGCTTTCAAATTTATTTTTCTTGATTCACATTTAAATTCTGCTCTCCTTCACCATTAAAATTCCTGCCCATAGCAACTTAGTTTTTCACCCTTGCTCTGTCTGTCCACATCAAGATAACCAAAAGGGTGCTCCAAAATTAATCTCGATCATCAGTTCTTCCAGTCACGTAATTCCTGAATTACTGTATTTTCTCTTATTGTACAAAGCTGAATCTTTCCTGTAGGACCCCCACATAAATTTTGTGCCAAGATAGCACAAGCTATTGCTTAATGCTGTCAGTTCTCTCTTGCCTTTTCTTCTCCTGACACTCTTCTAAAACACTGCAGCTGCACAGGCATAAGTAAAGCAGAATCTGACTTGCAGAAATGTTGCCACCAAGAAAAATGGTTGGAAGAAAGAACATCATGGTGTGATTTCCAGTTTACTCTTGACTCTCCAGGGGCAGCCTATAAAATAACATGTAATGTAGAAGATGCTGAGATGCTGTTGCAAAATTATTTTCATCAGAATAAAATTATGTATAAAAACGTAGTTAGCTGTGTGAGCTTTCCGTATCTAATCTTTACTGATTTGATCTGACTTTACCCATTTGATTTGACTGGAATATTACAGACTGCATTAGACTTCTTTCATTTCCTAGGAATAAAAAGGCTATCATGAAAACTATGTCATCATAACTTCAGACTCTGCTATTAAGATAGTGATTATAAAAAAAGTAGTGAAAATTCTGTGCTGCCAGAGCTAACAAAGGGTTTGACAATTTTTCAGAGGTTTTACGCATGGAAAGAAAAAACCCCTAGTTTAAATTTTAATAATACAGGAAGGAAATGGTGAATATTTTTATTTGTTAAAGTTTCTTTATATTTGTAAATGTAAAAATGTCTTAGTTTGATACATGGTATTCTTGATATATCATCTGTTGTTTTCTCTTCTGCTAGATATTAAGATCATTGACTCTATCAGGTCAGCATTTTTTCACCTTAATTGTACAACTTACCTAGAGCAAGAACTTAAATGTAGAAAGAAGACAAAATTTCATTACTGTTATTATTATTATTACTACTACTGTTTTGATATATCTGTTAACTTATGAGCCAAATAGTAGCTCTAAGCTACAGAGGGAAGACTAGAGCCTTCACAGCCCCCGTTCTTTGAAAAGGTGAACCTGGAAACTGTTGTTTTAAGTAAATTCTAGACTCCTATTGTATCAGCTGCAGCAGTGGCATTAACCCAGTGAGAGTGTTGCAGGCTTTCCATGTGAGATATTGAGTTGGTTTCTGTGAATTTACATATTTTCCCTAGAAATTCTCCTGAAGTCTCTGTAGCAAGAGTGTTTTGGAGGTCAACAGAAGGCAGTTGCACTCAGCTCTGAAAACACTGCTATGGACATGTTTGCTGTCCTGCAGGGAAGGCTCAGGTGTCCATATTGTCTAAGGATTGGAGCAGTATTCAACTGAGTGCTTTCTCTTTCAATAAATCAATCAGCTCTTTATTTTCCTGGAAGGATTAGGAGAAAGTCTTCCCCAAAAAACCTCAAAGGTTTTGTTTTCCTAACCCTTTCTTTATTCATATAGGCTTTCCCCTAAGTAAGGATAGAAACTGTAAACTTCCCTGCAGATCTATCCTTAAAGTAAACAAATAAAAATGAACAATATTGTTAAACAGGCATCTAGGAATTGGACAGCTGATACTGAATTACCTAATAGCCATCTGGCTGTGAAAGGAGGAATTGGCTGGCAGTTCAGCTCTAAAAGAAACAAACAACATTGGGTATTTCTCCCTGACCTTTTATTTTTTATTTGGGGACAGAAGAAAAAAAGATATTAGTGTATGGTGGCTGTATTGAAGAAATGTGTCTCTCGCAGTATTTCAAGGAAATAAATGACCACAAAAAGACTAAATTCAGACTGAGATCCATCCTGTTTTATTTGTAGTTTTAAAAATGATTGTGAGATAAACAAGCCTCTTGCTATTATGTATCTGTGATGTGCTCTCAGGCCTGTACTGGCCCCTTCTCCCCAGGATAGTGGATGAAAATCACTGTAAGATTCTCCTCTTCTAGAGGAAAATTCCCAGTTTTTCTCTGTGGAGTGAGTAGATGTGCAGAGCAGCCCATGGCCCGTCCTGCCCATTGGGGTGGCTGGCTTGGCCACTGGTGCCCATCAGGCTGGCTCTGAGGTGTGTTGTCTGCAGGTTAGAACTTGTTCTTCTGTTTTCCTCTTGATGAGACTTGATAAATCTTCTGACATTTGATAAAAAATTCAAAGTCATACCTTTGTATCTGCCTTTTACAGTCACACACTAGGTTCACACAGTGGGCTTCAGACACTGGGCCTTATTCAGGGATTGAAGAAGTATAATTCTTTTTTTACTGACTTCACTGTTTTGAGGCTGGGCTCGTTGCTTTCCTTAAAAGGACTTCAGATGAAATGTGGAAGTGATAAGGCCTTCAGTGTCATGCATGATAATTTCTCCTTCTTTGTGTGTGGCATTTTTTCAGCGATGCTTTTCTATTTTCTCAACCTACATGTCACTTAGATTGCTTGAAGCCATTACTCTTGATGATTTCTTTGCAAAATGAAGTGGAAAAACATATTCAGTTAAGGCTGGCCTCTGAAGAAACCCATTGTTTGCAGTGATTCAATTTAATTTCAAACATATCACATCAGTTTCTATTGTTAAGTTTAGCATTTCAGCACTATGGAACCTGATGAGACAAAATTGCGTTTTTACTGTGAAATCAGATTTAGCTTTTTGAATGATGAACTGGTGAGTGATTGTATTTCATTATGTATATTGGAAAGATAAGAACATGCTCTGCCACACAATAATAACTTCTATGCAACCAGTATTGGGTTAGGATTTTTGGTTTTTTCCTTCTTCTTTTAATACATGTTTGTTTGTGAGAGATATTTGGGTCAGAAATTGCCAGGGCCTCTAAATTTTGAGACCCCAAACTTTGCTGGTGAGACTGAATCTACAAATTTGTTAGGATGTTCCTTTACAGTGTAATGTTGTTTCCATAGCCTTGGACTTTCTGACACTGTGAGCTGAATATTTTTGTTTTTTGCTTAAGTGCAGTGTGATTAGCTGTCCTTGAAAATATCACCTGTGGCAGTTTGATTGTGTAGCAAAATGCCAGGAGCCAAAGGACACAAGAACATCCTCTAACCTCACCAGATATACATACTTATTCTGCAGCAGGTATATTATTTTAGGCTTTGATTTGGGAAAATATTCCTAAGAAAGACAACTGAGAAAGATCTATCTAGTTAAAAGACACTGCCCTGAGGAGATGTATGAGTTTATATCTTGGCATTTGCAGAAAAAGATGTTTAAGTGTGTATATTTTCCAGAGTCATGGCCTTAGATTTATTCCCTCTGGAGTCCATCAACTGAACCAACGTTAGACACTTAGACTTGGAAGGCCCAGTAATCCCTTTAACAATTTGAGTCTGCCCTTTGACTGGGTTTGCAAACTAATTGAAAACTGCAGAATCCTCAGTGTTTCCAACTTGAACATGCTTTCAGTTAAAAAAAAAAAAAAAAAAGATAGGAATTTATTAATTTACATACAATTTGAAATTTAGGCTTTACAGTTTTGAATGCAGAAGATGCTATTCTATAGGTAAAACCTCTGAAGGGTTGATAAATCATTTGCTCTACATGGGGAATCCATATTTTAATTTTTTAAAAAATGTAATTTCATGAGTAAGAAAATCTATTCATATGTGAACAACATGGTTCTTCTGAGATATTACTGCTTTTTTATTTGCAAGAATTCAAAGAAGTTCAGTGCAGCCTGGAAGAAGTAGTCTTTTGATCTGATGGGTAAAAATTACCTGTGGAAAGTTCGTGCAGTGTAAGACTGATCAAACTAGCGATTACTTTTTGTGTTCCTACTTTAAATTTTTGGGAAGATTTTTTTTTATGTTACAATTGCCAAAAAGTCTTTAATGACTAGACTGAGGATCAGAAAGCTTTCTCAAGTGAATTAAATCGAATGCTACAGATTTATGGCTGTTTTCCTTAGACTAATCTAGTAGCAAGTTTGCAAAATATAATACTGTTAAGCAGACTGGGAAATTTACAGCTTGAAAGTCTGAGAATACCACGAAATCTAATAGCTATGTGCACCCTCTAGCCAGCTAGTTTGGTTTGATTTATTCCTTCCTTCTCTCCTGTGGCTGTGAGTCTCTGGATTCTTGTAACACACAGCTTTGAACAGTTATTTAAGTACAAAGCAACATACCATGGGCAAAAGTATAAATTAATAGAACACCTTGATTTAAGCACAACACCATCATTTTGCACAGCTTGTATCATCACAGAAGCAGAAAAGTACTTGGAATATCTGCTGCCAAGTATCACTGGCTTTCTGCATCCTTTGCTTCAGCATCTACCCAACCTCCCCAAAGTCTTGTGACTCCAGCCAGTGCTCCTATCATCCCATCATCATCAGAAAAGAGGAGTTGTTTTATTTCATATTTATACCATAGTATATAGTATATAACTCTTTTGATTTACATGTAAAGACCATAATCTTCTCTCTCTGCAATCAGGAATCGACCTCACTCAGTCTTGATGCAAAATCTTTTTTTTTCCTCAAGTTCCTTTGAGCAACAAACTGACTCAAATTGTGGGCTGTCAGGACATTTGATTTATAAGTTTTGACTAGTTATATAAATCCGTCATGACTTTTAACTAAATTGTTTTGTTTTTACCAGATTTCCTATCCTTGTACTGATTGCTGC